GAAAGTCAGGAAGTGAGATCGTGTATACTAGACGTGGCTCATAGCCTTTTTCTTGCATGGCCAGAGAATTTGATGGTTTTCCGCTCGCTTTCTTTCTTTCTAGAGTCCAAGGTAAGCCTAAGGTAGTCTGTTTCTGTATTGTATTTTTTTTATGTACACATTGAAATTCTGGCGTACATTAAATTAGAAACCCGTGATTTAATTATTTTATATTTTAAAATAAGCTTACTTGAAGCAAAAAATTCGAATTGCTTAATCTTTTAACTTTGTTGTTCTTCACACTACATTTCTTCTGTATTCTATGCAGCTCTTTATGAATGGTATACAAGTCAGCATCTACGATCGAGTAAATTTGAGTGATGGATAGACAAATTAGCATCCAAGAGACGGTGTAGATTTACTTTTTGCGAGAGAGATTTACTGTCCCATCATGTCAAACACAAGCCATATCAAGCAAGCATAGTGGCTGGTGATGTACGTATAATCTTATTTTTGTTCTAGAAACGAGATATGTAAACAACTGGAATTAAAACTTGAAGTAATATATCAAACACAAAAGACCGTGTTTGACCACATTTCCAAACACTGAGAAGAGAGTTGAAATACGACACGCAACGGAGTATTTTTGAAGAGCTTCAAGGTGTTTGGAAATGTGGTCAAACACGGTCTTAGGTGTTTGATATATTACTTCTCAATCGAAACTAAAACAAAAGAGAAAACGGAGAAATAAAATCGAAAAAAATCTCTGCTAATTAAGATGAGATATCCAAACAATGTCACGGTCATGATTTCCTTTGTTTAAGCTTGATGAATTCTAAATGAGTTTGAGAAATAGATATAAATTGTACCTGTCAACAGTCGTTTTGAATATTTCTGCATTGCTAGTAAAATGAACACAAACAATTACCAAGATAGGAATAAAATAATGTGATTTCCATTTCCAAGAAAGAAAGCTATAGTTATTATTACTGTGTACATTACAATCTGCAATACCCTTTTTACTGGGTTGCCGTAGGCGAACCCAGTCATAAAATGCGAACGGGGCTTTCTCCTACGTCGAAAAATGGCTAAATTGCACAATCGCTACCAAGAAGACATTGCGTGTGTGCTTTGTTTCCCTCGCGCCTTTCGAACGGCGAAAAAATCTATTCTTGGTCGATCAGAGGACTGTTTGTGCTGCCAAGTTTAAGGGTGGAAACTTCAGGTTGACTTAACGGCGAAACAAGTGCATTCAGAGCGAACTTATTTCGACTGTTATCCAGTACTGTTGGTTGACTGGAAGAGTTTGAATTGGAAACCTTTAGAATGAAACCTACCGAGTGACTTCAGTTAGTTCTGGTTAGTGCTTTTTATCTGAGGCTTTTTAACTACACAGATGAATTCAAGAAATGTGGAATCGGAGAGGTACAGTGATAATTTTAATCCAATGCCTGATATAAGCAACGATACCTTTCTGAAGAAACTGAAACCAGATAACAGAAAGGAAATCATTGGAGCCATGATACAGGAACACTCACTTAAAGTAAGATTTTAAATGTTTTCTCTGGTAATTTGCAGCTTTGTCTCGTGTTTCATTACATGTAATTATTTATTTTATTTGTTGTATTTTGAACTTGTTCGAAGCCTAGTATAATTTAGTGCACTGTTTACAATCATAGTTGTGGAACTTAGCAAAGGAATTGACATTAAGGCGAAATAT